TAGGAGTAACAGATAAATTACTTACTATTATTCTTATTGTTACTAAGTGCTAGGCAAATTAACAATTTGATTTTATTGAATATCTTAGAAAATTGCCATTATGCACTACAAGTATGTTTGGTTCTGGCTCAGGGTGGCTGATGCAACAGATCTGAATTCAGATCTGAATCTGTGTCTTTCATTGGGGGATTTTTATGTCTTTATTATCTGGCTCTGAATATTTTCAGAGTCCTGGCTGTCCTGGAACTCACTCTGTAGACCAGGCTAGCCTCGAACTCACAGAGATTCACCTACCTCTGCCTCCCAAGTGCCGGGATTAAAGGTGTGCGCCACCACCGCCGCCCGGCCAGGTTGTATTTATAATGACACCGAATCACCTGGCCGCCTGTTTTCTATCCTTGTACTCTATGTGAAAGGTTAAAAATTCAGATTTCTAGGTCTCATCTCAGAGCTTCTGAAAGTCCATCTTCGGCCATGGCATCCCAAGGCATCCATGCTGTTAGCCTGTTTCTAGTAGTTTCCCCCCTGTGGCTCTCTAGACCAGCCCTGGGAAATGAAGATGCCCAAATCTTTGGGTTGACACACACACACACACACACACACACACACACACACACACACACACACACTATAGGCTGGCCTTGAACTCAGAGATTCACCTGCCTCTGCCTCCCAAGTGCTGGGATTAAAGTTATGATTCATGGCTAACACCTGTTATTTCTAAAAGTATTAATACTTCTAAACAGTAGTGGGGAATACTAAAAAATAATCATACCTGTTTTAAAGGCTGTTTGTTTTCAAATGAGCATGTAAGCACTTTTGCAATTTTTTAAGTATTTTGCCCTCCTGGAACATTTTGGCTCTTGGAGGAATTCATACAGATCCTCCCTCCTGGGGAGTTTGGAACCAGACTGCAAGGGTGGGGACATGTTTCCCAGCTCACCACGGCTACAGAGGAGTTACCCCAACCTCTGTCTTCCCACCGAGCATCCCTTCTGCTACTGCCCCTAGTAACCGGCCAGGGGATGACTTCCCTTCAGTGCCTGCTCCCTCGGGGGTGACCTCACACCTCCTGCAACGTAAGACCACCCAACCTCCAGCTCACTGCTTTCTCTTCTCTCTTCCACCACTGGCCGGCCCATCCCCAAGGCTCCCGCACCACCCCACCCATCATACTTCACCCTGGAATCCCCGCACCCCACCCCACCCCCACTTTGTGGCTGTAGCACAGCTCTAACTCTATATGAGCTTCCTGAACTAACGGAGACAGGATCCATGTCCAGTGTCCATTGCTTTGTTTTCAAATCCTTTATGAAGGCTCTCCTCGAATCTGTGGCTTGGGACGAAATGGGTAATACAAGCAAATTGTTTTTCTTTTTTTTTAAAGTTCCTGTGACTCTTGGATTGGTCAATTAAGTTGGTTTTTTTTTTTTTTTTTGCTACTCAAATAAGCCATATACATGAGACAGTTTTGAGCTTTTGGGGTATTAAAACAAATGTAATCTTTCCTCCTAAAACAGTAGCGAATCTTTAGGCTCCAAAAAGCGAGTCTATCAAAATGTAAGTATTTCCTGCTTTACATCTTTAACTCAATTTTCACATCTGCAAGAACCACACTAGGGGGGCTGGAGAGATGGCTCAGTGGTTAAGAGCACTGGTTGCTCTTCCAGAGGACCTGGGTTCAATTCCCAGCACCCACATGGCAGCTCACAACTGTCTGTAATTACAGTTCCAGGGGATCCAACACTCTTACATAGATAAACCAAAGAAAATAAAAAAAAACAAAAAAAAAAAAAAAAAAAAAAAAAAAAAAAAAAAAAAAAAACACTGAAGCTGTGCACAGTGGCACATGCTGGTAATCCCAGTGCTAAGGGGCTGGGGCCCAGGCAGTACAAATTTGAGGCTATATAGCAAGTTGTGATCTAGCCTGGGCTACACAGAAAGCACCTGTCTCACAAAATAAAGAGCAAATATAAAGGGACCGTAGTGGCTCTCACAGTCAAGCAGAAGATGAGGAGGTCCGTGTGGATTTGTTGTGACATACGCTGCCCCCTAGAATACATTGTTTTCCTCACTTGTTCAGTTCTGTGTTTCAATGTTTTCAACTCATTTTCCGGTTTCCCTTTATGGGCTTCCGGTTTTGACATCATTCCTCTGCAAGAGGTCAGAAAGAACAATTGCAGACTGTGCTCGCTAACAAGTTCCTCTTCTGATCCCGAGGATCCTGCTCACTCCTCTTTAATCCTCCTTCATTAAATGCTCTTCTGTAGAAATGCCTTCAGGAGGTTCTCATACACCACGCCCTTTAAAGTGACAGCTCCCTGGAGCCAGCGGCTCAGACTCTGTGCTGCTCTGCACAGAGACTTCCGTTAAAAGACAGACCTTGGCCAGAGTCCCTCTACCAGTTACGGCGCGCATAAAACATGGTTTACCTGCCCGAGGCTTCTGCATAGACCGGGAACGGAACAGGGTATTAAAAAAAAAAAAAAAACTACAGACTCACACCACTGCCACAAGGTGTGCACCAGAGTGAGCAGAAACCGCGGTGAGTTTATCTGTGGTCACCACACCTGCAGAACTCCAGTTAGAAAAGATTCTTCCATGCAAAACCTCCTCTTCCTTCTCTAGTACCTCCCTACTCCGGTCATTGCGAGTTGTTGCAGGCTGGGAGAAGTCTCCTTTTAAACTTGGATCAGATTACACCATAACTCCAGGCAGGCCCTTGGAATGACTTCCCATCTCACACTGAACAAAAGCCAGCGTCCTCTCAACGGCTCACCAATCACCCTGCCCTCGGTTCCCGGTCTTTCCCTGTGATCTCTCTGCTTCAGTCTCACTGGTCTCCTTGCTAACACCCTCAGACTCGCCTGCCTTAGCATATTGTCTTTAACACGTTCTTCTGCCTGGAAAACTTTTCTTTAGTAAACTGTTCAGCTGATCTCTCTCTCCTATATGCCTTTGTTCACGTCTGTGTTCTCACTGGAGCCTACCATCATCATGAGATATGATAGATAGATGGACAGATAGATAGATAGACAGACAGATAGATAGGTAGATACATAGATACATAGATAGATACATAGATATAGATAGATACATTGATACATTGATGGATAGATGATGGATGGATAGATATAGATGTAGATATAGATATAGGTACATCACGTGTGTGTATGTTTTCCTTGTGTGTATGTCTGTGCACGACCTGTGTCACTGAACTAGAGGTCAGGAAGAGGACATCAGATCCCCTTTAACTGGAGTTACTACGGTTGTGAACCACCATTTGGGTACTGGGAATCAAACCCAGGTCCTCTGCAAGAACAAATACTCTTAACAGCTGGGCCATCTCTCCAGCCCAAAACCTTGTAAGAAAATATAGAAAAATAAATTTGTGACATCCTGGCATGAGATTTCTATAAACAAGACAAAATATGCACAAACCAGAACGAGAAATACTGGCACAGTGCTATATTAAAAAACATGTGCATAAAAGAAGACCCAATAAAAAAAATTAAGCAGTGTGCCACAATCTAAAAGCTGAGACATATAACCAAACAAGGACTGATTTCCAGTGTTTATATTTTCTCCAGATAACCACAAACTGGGAAGGAAAAGATAAATAGATCAATGTAAACGCTGACTGTATCACTCACAGAGGAGAACATTTTTCTGAGCAATAAGTATGCCTATGAAATGTGTTCAGTTTACACCATGAATGTACAGCTACAGTAATGGAACCTAGATCTGGAGGTGCAGCTCAATGGTAAAACACTTGCTTAGTATGGGCAAGGCCTTGGGTTCGCTCTCTAACTCCACCACACACACACACACACACACACACACACGCACACGCACACGCACACGCACACGCACACACACACACACTCTCTCTCTCTCTCTCTCTCTCTCTCCTAACAATACGAAGTCTAATCTGTAAGGACGAAGGGGAAATAAAGCTAATTTTAATGACATAAAATCATTTATAAGCATTCATTCATTGACTATAAACATAAAGCATAGACATGGGAAAGTAGCCATGTTTCACAGGAGATCAAATGATCATAATTTTCTACCCTCCTACAAATCAACACTCTCTCCATATACCTTTACCACTCCCACCAGTATATTTTTCCCATCCCTTGAGTGGATCGTTTCTGTGAGTTCTTTCCACCAACAGGGTGTAGAGGAAGAAATGTTTTGCCAGGAGCCCTGCACACTTCCGTTCCACTCTCCCTCTCAGACTCCTCCCACCGCCTTATAAATAAATCTCAGGTAGTCTGGTGACTGATGAGCAATACACTGCCCAGACAGCCTCACTGCCCCAGCCTACAATCAACTAACTGACAGGTATATGATTAAGGCCCTGCCAAAACAAACCAACAACCAGACGCCCTGCCTGTTGACCATAGACCAGGGCAAGCCTGGTAAGGTAAGCCTACTCTACCTCCCATCAGTGGAAGTACTGGCTGACCTGTGGACGTCTGAGCAGTGATAAGTGGAGGTTGTTTTTAGTGACTCCGTTTAGGGAGGGGTAATGGTTCTAGCATATCAGAAGATTGCTAAAGCTTATACGATTCTCAGAACTATGATGTATCTAAGGGAAGAGTGTCATAGGGAGAGATCCCTTCACCTTTAAAATGAACTGCTCTTCAGTGCTAAGAATAGAAGTCGGAGTCTCCCACATGCTAGGTGTCTTAGTTAGGGGTACTATTGCTGTGATTGAAACACCACAACCAAAAGCAACTTGGGGAAGAAATGGTTTATTTTGCTCAAAGCTCCATATAATAGTTCATTATCAAAAGGAGTGAGGGCAGGGATTCACTCAGAGTCTGGAGGCAGGAGCTGATGCAGAGGCCATGGAGGGGAGCTGCTTACTGGCTTGCTCCTCATAGCTTGCTCAGTCTGCTTTCTCATAGAACCCAGAACCACCAGCCTAGAGATAGCACCACAATGGGCTGAGCCCTCCTCCATCAACCACTAATTAAGAAAATACCCCACAGGCTTGCCTACAGCCCAGTCTCATGAAGGCATTTTCTCCACTGAGAATCCCTCCTCTCGGACAACTTTAGCTGGTCTCAAGTTGACATAAAACTAGCCACCACACCAGGTAAGTTGTCTACCATTATGCTATATTTTAGCTCTACCGTTAATTTTTTATGAATTGGAACGTCTCAAATGCTTGTTAAATCTTCATGGTACAGATTGGAGATATGGCTCAGCAGTTGAAAATCACATACTACTCATCCAGAAGACCAGAGTTCAGTTCCTAGCACCCACATCAGGCAGCTCACACCTGCCTAAAAGTCCAGTTTCAGAGGGATGCAAGAGCATCCCGCCTCTAGTCTCCAAGGGCACCTGTGATCACTTGTCATACCCACACACAGGCCACACATACCCATACTCTAAATTAAAATAGATTTTGTTTAAGCCTCTGTAGTAGTAACCTGGTACTTTATTCTGTTGTTTGTTGCTATGGATACTTGATATGCCTCAGTAGTGTCATGAAGCTGGTGCCAGTCTTTCCACTTTTTTTAAAACCCTGTATGCATGAACACAGGAGACATGACTAAAAGATTTGCCTCGTCATGTGGTTCCCACGTAGACTGTCAACACAGAAACTTGGACATAGGACACTCTGACTTATGTAACTGACCTCATGGACCACAGTGACTCACACAGAGCACATAGTTTGGTCACACCCCGTGGTGCAGTCACACATAAACAAGAGCTAGGAGAAAATATCAAACCTTCAATTAATCAGAACTTAAGACACAAACTTTCTTTCATGAAAAACACCTAATTTTAGTAGGAAGCAAACCAGCATCAAATATTTTGTTTGATTTTTCAGATTGACTACTGGGGCCAGTGCAGATTCATACACTGGTGTCCTCATGATTAATATTTAGGGGGGGGGGAGAATACATAAACCTACTGAGGAACATGTTTGCCAAAGGCTAAGATAAATGGATTTTCTATTTGATCTTTATTTGACCAAAAAATTAATTCAACTGTCATTCCATCCTACTGAACAATGAATGATATTATTGAAATAGAATTGTTTATTTTAGTTATGCTACAAGTCTAAGATTTTAAAAGCATTCATACCATAAGAGACTGCAGAAATAAGAATTATAAATAATCTATTGAAAATTGGGCCTGTCTGTAATTCCAACTCCTCTTGTTGAAAAGAATCAAAAGATTTCCAAGGAACATAGTATCTCCAATTTTAATAGGATCCTTTTTACCCCAAGCCACACAATTGAATTAAAATAAAACATGCCTGTGCTCAAAACATTGGGCCACAGCATGAACAAGCAATAATAAGTCCCTCTGCCTTTAGAGTTGGGAATGTAAAGGATCCCTTTACATATATAAGAAAGAATAGCCGGGCGATGGTGGCACACGCCTTTAATCCCAGCACTCGGGAGGCAGAGCCAGGCGGATCTCTGTGAGTTTGAGGCCAGCCTGGGCTACCAAGTGAGTTCCAGGAAAGGCACAAAGCTACACAGAGAAACCCTGTCTAAAAAAACCAAAAAAAAAAAAAAAAGAAAAGAAAAGAAAGAAAGAATAGAAAAGTCCAGTGCCAACATCATTCCAGGTAACAAGAGAACAGACGCTTGTAACCAAAGACAGGACCAGCAGAAGGGCTTAGAAGAGCCTAATGTGAGGCAGACAACAGGAATGGGAAGTATATACCCTGAAGCCCTTCAAATTGTACACCAGCCAAGGCAGCAGAGTCAATCAAGGCTACACACTACCAAACATTAATTTCATCTATGAACAGGAGGGCAAGCTAGTCCTTCCCACCAATTGTGTATTAAGCATATGAAGGGCCCTTTTCCTTTCTAATGTTTCTACTGTCTATAATGATTAAGATGAAGTTTTACTAATTGGATTTTTAGGTATGGCTTTTGTTGTTTGATGATTTAAGACAGAGATTATATTCTCATTTGTCCCAGAATCCCTTATGTAGAGTAGCCTGGCTTGGAACCTTCCAGCTTCTGCCTCCTGAGTGCTGGAACATGGGCATATAACACCACATTGGGCCTTTTTAATAGCAAATTATTGTAAAGTTTCAAAAAATTGAGTTGGCCAGGTGGTGGTGGTGCACACCTTTAATCCCAGCACTTGGGAGGCAGAAGTAGGAGGATCTCTATGAGTTTGAGGCCAGCCTGGTCAACAGAGTGAGTTCCAGGAAAGGCTCCAAAGCCACACAGAGAAACTCTGTCTCAAAAAAAAAAAAATTTTTTTTTGAATTGTTGGTCATAGGAGTCCAAGAGAACCCCAAAACAACATATTCTACTTCTGTTGCCCTTGGCTGCCTCCCAGGGTTAAAGGTAAGTTTCTTTTCCTGAAGACACCATTCATATTGGACACAGGACTCAGGAGATCTGAGCAGGATCTAACCTGAAAGCTTCATCCCTGACACTAGCTTTCATAGTGATATGGAAAGGTAATATGCAAGCTTCCAGTAGTCCTACCCAGCTGTGATGCCTCTGAACTACAAGAGCAATCAATATACATCCCTGAGTGTGCAATAGCGGCACTCAGATTTTGGCAGTAACCAACACATGTCCAATTGGACTTGACTTGAGGCACACTCAACAGGAGGAAGTCCTGCTTGGTACTGGAAACCTAACCAATTATCCAGGGGCTGCTGAGGTCATGGGCCTTTTTTCTTTTTTCCCCCAAGACAGAGTTTCTTTGTGTAGCCCTAGCGGTCCTGGAACTCACTCTGTAGACCAGGTTGGCCTGGAACTCACAGAGATCCCCCTGCCTCTGTCTCTCGAGTGCTGGGATTAAAGGCATATACCACCACCTCCCACAAGGTCATGGATCTTAGAGAAAAACTTTATACCTACACTTCACCAAACCAGTGCAATTCCTAACTTCATTTCAAATATTTATCCTTACACTCACAGATAAATATAACTCTCCCTCTTCATCAAATAAACTTCTCTTGCAACAGGTGGAGAACATCACAGAAATCCACAACTCGTCCAAATGCAGAGAACAACTGACCATGAGAAGGACAGTTTCAACGGATACATCTACCTCACAGCTCCTGCGCCTAAAGCTCAGGAAATGTCTTGGCAGCGGAGAGTGGAAACATTACAGGAGCCAGAGAACCAGGACTGCTGCTGTGAGACTGTGTTCCCTAGAAATGACAGGAAGTTTCAACAATATGGATGCCTACACAAAACCTGGACATGTACAACCCCGACAAGGCACGCTGACATGGATAGGGGAAATTTCACAGGGCCCCTGGCCATAAACAAAGAGCACTGCAGTCAGCTAAGGCATGCTGAGTGGGAGAGAAATGATCTCTCCAGGCAGAAGATTGGCTATCAATCTGACTGGCTATCAATACCAACTGGTCAGTAAAGTCATCTACACACAAGTAACACTAAATGGACTGAGCAGGATGTATTTATATATACATACATATATGTGTATATTTGTAACAGCGGTTAAAGAAAATGAGGCCATGAATTTATTGGGGGTTAGTATGTAGGAAAGGTTGGAGGAAGAAAGGGAAAGGAGAAAAGATACAATTGTGTTTTAATTTAAAAGATCATTTTAAAGCCGGGCAGTGGTGGCACAAGCCTTTAACTCTAGCACTCGGGAGGCAGAGGCAGGCGGATCTTTGTGAGTTCGAGACCAGCTTGGGCTACAGAGTAAGTTCCAGGAAAGGTGCAAAGCTACACAGAGAAACCCTGTCTCAAAAAACCAATAATAATAATAATAATTATTATTATTATTATTATTATTATTATTTTAAAAATAGCATAGCAAAAAGACAGTATGGCAGAATGCATCAAATATCCCAACATCCGAGAAAATAAGAGTCAAAAACGTGACAGTAATAGTGAAAATGGGGATGATGAGAGGGCTCAGCTAGAAAAGGCAGCGCTTGCCACCAAGTGTCACAGCCTGATTTTGTTCCCATGGATCCACATGGAAGATGGAGAGAACCCACTCCCAGAGTTGTCCACTGACCACCACGTGTGTGCTGTGGCATGCACGTGAATCCACATGATAAAGAAATGAAATCTAATTTAAAAATTAAATAATAATAAGAAACAATGCAAATAAATTGGGTTGAGCTGGGAGAGATGGCACATGTGTGGGAGCACAAAGGTCCTTGGAAAACCAGGAATGGAGATACTTCATAGATCAGGTGACCTTTGTGTTATCTGTATGGCCAGGGGCTCCCCCAACCTTCCACAATCAGGACTAGGGGTTGTGGGAACCTAAATGACTTCTACGCCATCTGTATGACCAAGGCCACACCAGATCCTCCCCTAGGCCCTTAAGATAATACATGCTGTGAGTTTGAGGCCAGCCTGGTCTATAGAGTGAGATCCAGGACAGGCACCAAAACTACACAAAAAAACCCTGTCTCGAAAAATAAAATAAAATAACACATGCAGCCTGTCCCTAGATCCCATCTTCATGGAAGAAGTGGCATGCACTTTAAGAAGAGTTTCGATGTCAGTACGCCTTCCTGTGCACAGAGGATTCTGTTACACCAAGAAACTGTTTTCTATGTTGTACTGTATTTAAATATGCCTACAATAAACTGTCCTGCTGTCAGACTCTAGAAATTTGAACCAACAACAACCAAGTCATGTTGAACCAGGTTTCCTCCTTGCCACACACAAAAATAAATAAATAAGTAACAAGACTAGAGAATTAGCTACAGAGGCAGATGAAAGGGTATTTTGTAAAATTTTCCTAAAATCAATTGAAGAAAACTGGGGAGACAAAGGGAACTGTTGGGAAGAGAGGGGGTAAGGAAAGAAGAGTCGGAGAATATATTCAATATGCAATATATTTTAAAAGTAGATTTTGTGCGGAAACCTGGAAAATAAATCATTTTGTATGAAAATTGTAGAAATAAATACTTCTTTGAAAGAAAATTGCACCTCTGGAGTAGGCGTATACAAACTATGGCCTCTGCAACACACACCGGCACTTGTTTTCATAAATGCGGTTTTGTGGTAACCACGGCACTTCACCACAGCAGCGGAGACGAGTCGCAGCAGAAACAGAATTATCTGTGAAGTTCAAAATATTTACCAAGTGGTCTGTCCCACTCAAAAAATCAATGCCTGTTCTAGAGACTTCTCGGGGATTGTAGCTCAGGGTATCAGAATTTACCCAAGACGCTCAAGGCTGTAGGTTCCATCCTCCAGTAAAACACATACACTATAATGAGTGAGAGAAAGAATTTGTAAGCCAGTACCTTTTGGTAACACAGGATTGTAACAGTGAGCACTTAGTCATTTGGGATAAGTATTCCTGAACTTTCCAGCACTGTAGAATAAAACGGTAAAGGTGGCATATAAAGTTTAGACAGTAGTGCCAGAGTGAAAAATATTTCTCTGTTATACAACAATCTGAAAATAAAAATGATGAGGAAGCCAGAAATCAGACTCAGTTTATCACCCTTCCTCCTCTGCATATAAAAAACATTTTATTAGAAACATCTCTGGAGTCGACCTGTCAGAGATCATCTATTAAATTTCAGGAAGGTGGTCAGGCTATGGCCCTGATTACTGAAGACAGCTTGCCTGTAGGAGGGAGCAGGCACAGTTCATTCTTTACTGGCCCTGGGATGGGATTTACAACTTTGAGGCAAAAGATCTGGCCTGCTATCAAAGCTTCAACCCCAAACCGAACTCCCACACTCTTCGGGGGCTTTGTCCTCAAATAGAATACGTTCACTTACTTAACTGTAGTTTGGAAATACTGTCCAGAAAAGAGTCTTTGTTCAGAAATGTTCTTTTTCAAAATAGACAGACCTCTAAGCCAGGTGTGGTGGCACATACCTTTAATCCCAGCACTCAGTGGGCAAAGAAGGGAGGATCTTAATGAGTTCTAGGCCACGCTATTCTACATAGAGAGTTCCAGACCAGCCAGGGATACATAGTGTTGTTCTGTGTCCTGGTTAGTTTTTTGTCAATGTGACACAAGGTAGAGTTATCCGGAAAGAGCAAACTCAGCTGAGAAAGTGCCTCCGTCCACATTGTCCGTAGGCAAGTCTGTAGGGCATTTTCTTAATTAATGATTGATTTGGCAGGGCCCAGCCCACTGTGCATGGTGCCACCCCTTAGCAGGCAGGTCAGGTCATCCTGGAGTTTGTAAGAAAACAAAGTGAGCGATCCACTGGGAGCAATCCAGTGAACAGCACTCCTCAGTGGCCACGGCTCTGGTTCCTGCTTCCAGGTTCCTGCCCTGTTTGAGTTCCTGTCCTGACTTCCTTCAGTGATAGATTTCTACCTAGAAGTATAAGACAAAATAAGCCTTCCCCCTGAAAGTTGTGTTTGGTCGTGGTCTTGTCACAGCACTGGAAACCTAATGAAAACACTGTGTCTCAGTACATAAATAATAAAATTTGAAATACACACAGATGCTGAATGTCACTTCTTCATTCTCTATGATCGCTACATTTCCATTTTAATTACACTCAGTTTTCAAGATACATCCCATCATATTAGACCTTGTTAGTTAATATGTCTTATCCTGGCTCTTTCTTCCAATATTTATCCAACCCTAACCATGCCATCCAGGCAATATGAAAGCACTCATGGTGCTAAAGATACCAATGAAAATAGCTCCCAACCACTCTGCCATTTACGGTCAGAGCTACAGATGAGGTTCCCAAGCTGTATATGTGAAACCGGAATAGAAATGAAGAATTCTTCTGACAGGCAAGCTCTGATCATATGGCATCTGCCTGGAGCGCTTTTGAGAATTCTAGGACAGAATCGGGGCTTGGAAAAATTGCCCAGATCAATCAGTAATGCCTGCCATGCACGTGTGTGATTGTATTCATATCTTACTTTCAGAACTTCGTACAGTGTTTAAAGAAAAGGGGCCAGGGATGGAATAATGGTAATACTTTAAAAAGGAAGGGATGGATGGAGGGACAGAGGGAGGGATGGAGGAGGGGATGGAGGGAAGAGGTGCTTCTGCACTGCTCAAAGGAGATACCATCCAGCTGAAAAGAGGGTCTCCAAAGGGAAGCAATCAGTGTGTCATAGGTCATAGCTACCTGGAGGTAGAAAACCTGAGAAATGGCATCCACTGTAAAAGCACTTGCAGGTTTGCGGTGGAATCAAAACTTATGTACAGAGACTGAGAAAGTACAGAAGTAAATTCTTCCTACATTTTTCTAGAACTCCAAGCACCGCACATGCTATTCTGCTCCTTCATATGCAACAGGGCACGTTTGGTTCTGAGTTCACTTCTTTGTTATTATGAATTCTAAAGTTGGAGCTCTAGGCTGTTTGCTTCTAGCATATCCACATTTCCAGGATATGACTTTTCTCTACAAACAGTTCTGGGAGCCTCTTTGCATGATTTTCATGCTCAGCCAACACCCACTTTGCCGGTTGGTGTGTTTGTTTTCATTTTACTTTTGTTAAATAGTGTTCCCTATTTCAATAACAAAATACTCTACCTCTATGTAGAATTGACAACTCCTCAGACAGATTAGTATCCAGGGACTTCTTCAGTTAAAGTTCCATGAGTTAATAGCTGACAGGGTCTAGTTTATTCATCAACGAGTCTGTGTCCTTCAACTTTTTAGAATGTTTTTAAAAATATGAGTTGGTTCAAATAATTAATTGTATCCCAGTACAAATTATTCCCTAAGAAATAGTTAATCTAAGTCACAATGTGGTTGAAAAGGAGGAATAAGCAAGTTCCCCAAACATGGGTCTCAATATGAGTGTTCACTAAAAGTGGAGGCAATTGTAAACACAGTTCTGAAGATACGCAGTAGACATAGGGAACGACAGATTGCCACAATTGCAGCTGAGAACCTGAAAATACCAGTCTCTGCGCCCACATCCAGCCTTGTTCTAGGAAAAAGATTGCACACAGTGTTTCCCATTAATCTGATCTTGCCACACTTTGATACCTCTGAAGAACAACAACAACAACCACAAACAGTTAAATCAGGAGTCAGAGAAGTGGGAAGAAGCTAAGCTGGGAGAAATAAAGCAGGAGTAGATGAGAACCCTGTCTGTCCTCCACTGTGACAGCGATGAAGGTAAGCACGTGACTTTCTGGGTCATGGAGGTGAGCTGAATCTCTAAGCGCTCTTCTGTCTGAGCCAAGACTGGTTTCAAAATCATTTCATTCCCATTTTTTTAGTTTGTGCATGTATGCGTGCGTGCGTGTGTGCGTGCGTGCGTGCATGTGTGCATGTGTGTGTGTGTTGAAACAGGGCCTCCCTATACAATGCAAATGGAACTAAACCTTGGACTCCTCCCGCCTCAGCCTCTAAACTGCTAGGATTACAGGCATGCACCACCACTCCTGACTTCAGGTTGGAATTTAATAGCATTTAAGGGAAAGAATTCATATGAAAATCCACTCCAAACTAAGTGTGGGTGAGTCCTTTGGTCATTTTTTAAGCTACAAGGCCATTGTGAAGGTGAGATGGCATCAGCTGAAACATGTTGGAATAGTCAAATCATCTTTGTACAATTCAGGATGAAGAAATGCCATCCGATACGTCATGAGTCATTACATGACTATTGTGGCTATGTCAAAAGCTGTGTCACAAGAATAAATTAATTGTTATTACATATTAGCATAAGATTTGTGT